GAGTCAGTGGTCTCCAGACCACAGCATGGCTTGGACATTCACGGTAAAATTAGCTGGGCTCTGCCGGGGACCGAAAATACCAACAGCCGCTTGTATCCCCTGACACATTCCTTGGTGGAAGTTAATTGCAGTAGCGCATGAACAATGCCAAACGTTGACAGAAGATCGCCGGACTGTCATTCCTTCCATCCTGAGTTGATGGTATTATGCATGCAGAACATTAGTCATCTTAATTCATGACGTAACGGCGCATAGCGTTAACCAAGGCTGGCTATTCTTGCACACTGAGATAATGTGTCGCTCTCGTGCTCTTCAAGCTGTTAAATCCATTACTAAATTGTGGGTGGGTGGGCTTCGCATAGGTGATGTATGGAAGTGAAAGCTGGACCATAAAGAAGGCTGACCGCAGAAGAAGTGATGCTTTTGAATTCTGGTGCTGGAGGAGACTCTTGAGAGTCCCATGGACTGCAAGAAGATCAAACCTCTCCATTCTGAAGGAAATCAGCCCTGAGTGCTCACTGGAAGGACAGGGGCTCCTGAAGCTGAGGCTCCAATACTTTGGCCCCCACATGAGAAGAGAAGACTCCCTGGAAAAGACCCTGATGTTGGGAAAGATGGAGGGCACAAGGAGAAGGGGACGACAGAGGACGAGATGGTTGGATAGTGTTCTCGAAGCTACCAGCATGAGTTTGACCAAACTGCGGGAGGCAGTGGAAGACAGGAGTGCCTGGCGTGCTCTGGTCCATGGGGTCACGAAGAATCGGACACGACTAAACGACTAAACAACAACAAGGGTTTCGCATGAGGCAGGAATCTCGACCTATCAAACGACTGCTCAGGACCCTTCCCCAAGATTGTCCAGAGACTCGACTGTGCAAGGAAGTCTCTTGGAAGAGACATCCGTGTGAGAAACCCACAGCCTTTGAAATGTTGTTGGACTCCCCATCAGTCCCAGCCAACATTCCCTATGGCCAGGGATTATGAAATCCAAGATCTGAAACCACAGGTTCCTCGCTCTTGCGTTGCACAAAGGCAACTAGAAACGCTATCACTGTAACTTAATTGTGGGCTGGCTCGCTGCTTAATAGCTTTTTAATATCCTAGATAGCTAAAGCATGCTAAAAAGGCAGCCTTTTCCAAGGGTTTTGTTGAGAGAAGTGGAGAGATATTAATTTGTGTTGCCTCCTTGGCTGGATGGAGGAGAGGCGTAGGAAGTGCCACAGACTTACACCATGTAATTACCCCATGGATAGCTCTCTCTTTTTGGAGGGAACATCAAGTTTCTTTCTGCAAGAGAAATCAACTGTACACCTCTACGCATCTGGCAAACTAGGCTGCTACCCACAAAACTTGTTATGTACTGAAGTTCTCACCCTGGGCCAGCAGGGGGATACTGTAGATAGTTATGCAAATAAGGGATCGAAAGTGACATTCACTGATTGGATAGTTTTAGAAAATTGTTACAGTTACGTTGTACTGGAGCTCTATATAAGCAGGCTGACTGAACCCTTCAGTTCAGTTCTGTTCTGGCCTGTGAATAAACAAGAGCTGTTTGAAGAATCGCTGTGTCGTCTGATATGTTCACCCACAACTTAACAAAACTCATGCCACAATGAACTCTTATTTGCATGTAAATTGTCACAGCATATTTCCCTAGCAATATGAGGTGCAGAAACACAAAAGATCTGTTTCCTAGGGTTTCTTTGCTTCCTCTTTAGAAGATACAGTGGTACCTCGGGTTACAGACACTTCAGGTTACAGACGTTTCAGGTTACCGACTCCACTAACCCAGAAATAGTACCTCGGGTTAAGAACTTTGCTTCAGGATGAAAAGAGAAATCGTGTGATGGCAGCGCGGTGGCAGCAGGAGGCCCCATTAGCCAAAGTGGTGTCTCAGGTTAAGAACAGTTTCAGGTTAAGAACGGACCTCCAGAATGAATTAAGTTCTTAACCCGAGGTACCACTGTATTTAATTGCACTTAGGCTAGGAAACATACATTCCAGCTGGATGGCTTTCCTTCGCCCCATGACTTAGTAGCATTTAATATTTAAGCGCATCCACTCAAGTCACTAGCGAAAAGCAGCCCAACCGAACTTAGTGGGATTGCTGTAAATTGAATAGTTTCAGAACTACATTATCTGCAACTCAAAAATAGCCATATAATCCTAAGTGTGCTCCCAAAGCACTTCCTCTGCCCTCCGTATTACAGTGGTGCCCCGCAAGACGAATGCCTTGCAAGACGAGAAACTCGCTAGACGAAAGGGTTTTCCGTTTTTTGAGTCGTTCCGCAAGACGAATTTCCCTATGGGCTTGCTTCGCAAGACAAAACATCTTGCGAGTTCTTGCGAGTTTGTTTCCTTTTTCTTAAAGCCGCTAAGCCGTTAAGCCGCTAATAGCCGCTAATAGCCGTGCTTCGCAAGACGAAAAAACCGCAAGACAAAGAGACTCGCGGAACGGATTAATTTTGTCTTGCGAGGCACCACTGTACACTGAATGCAGCAGGGATTTTAAATGCCCTCCAGCTTTTCGACCCTACCCAGGTCTGCCTGCTCAGTTTGACTTGACATTCTGCAAAGCCATGCAATGGGGCAAACTGTGAAAACGCACCTCAATAGAGCGGAGATGCACTGTGCTAGAAGCCCATAGATGTTCCCCTTAACTTTTAAACTCGAAAGTCCAGCAGATGGGTTAAGATAAGCTGCTATAGGAAAAATGAAAGATTTTGTGCAGGCATTACCAATGTGATAGACTGACCACCCAAGTCTGCAATTACTTCCAAGACACACACCCAAAATTCATTTGTTTTTCCACGCAGCTGACATGGGAAAATCTTGCAAGGAGAACAGACTAATTTTAATAACTAATGGTTATCCACTCATTTTTTTAAAAAAAAATGATATTACACAAAAATGACAAAACATTGGGTTTGGATTTTATTTAAATCAATAAATTTAAATCGCAATTTAAATCACTAGTCAGTAAGACTTGATTTAAACCCCCTTTTTTAACAGAAAGACTCATTCTTGCTGGTATAATCTTAATATTTTCAACCAGATGAAGGTTTCATTTTTTGGAATAATAAATTTTCAGAGTAGTTTTTACGGTTGTATCAAAAATGACTGATTTGGTTATACTATTGCATACATAATTATAAAATGATTGTGCGGTTTAATAAGGGAACTGTTTTAACTTTTTTATATTTGGACAACGTTTCTGCTGTACTTTATTGGAAGGAGAAAAACAATCATTTTCTTAATAACAATTTAAACCATTTATTTAACTAAAGCAATAACATTATAGCACATGTATCCATGTTTGTTAACTAATGTGGTTAAACAATTTTTTTAAAAAACAAAAACTTAGACTGAGTTTTAGCACACATGAAAAACTTAAAACAAATCCTTATTTCCTGATGGACAGCCTTTGGATTATAATGTAATTTAAATAAAAAACTATCTTTAGAAAGATTTTTCCCCCAAAGCATTTTATTTTAAAAATCCAATTTAAATTTTAAAAAATCCGATTTAAATTTTTTAAAATCTGATTATTATTTTTTAAATCATTGATTTTTATCCACCCTGGTTGAATCCAAAGATGTCCTTCTGCACTCAGAAGGCATCTTCAGCCCTTTAAAACACTATTGTAGTTTGAGGACCCGATCCCCACTTATTGAAATGAAGACACAAGGACATGTAATATAAGGTTAATGGGTCAAGAAAAGGCCACAACTTTAATGATTACAGCAAGTGAAAAGGTATTGGCTTAGGCATTGGATCACGTGACTTGACTCCACCCACTCGGAGAGGGGTGAGTCTAAAAAGGGGGGTTTATTCAACAGTAGGTGGAGCCCGTTGATGCTAATCCAACTATAAGCTCTCCTCTGATGTCACCGAGGGTCGTGCCATGGCCCCCCGCCACACAGGCATCAGACAGGATCCACGACCGCCGGATTCCTTTAACGGATTACCCAAAATTGAAGGCGTAGGCGATGGCCACACCTAACCCTTCCACACACCACAACACTTTATTCCAATGCCTAACCTACCCACCAATACCACGAAAGTTGTGACGATTGCTACAAGGTAGGCGAAAAAACCACAAAGCCTAATGCCAAATGGAAAAATTCCTACCAGGCCCCCCGGACAACCAGGGCGACCAACCTAAGGTCCATAGCAAGGCCAAAAGAAAACTGAGACCCTGAGCTCTAAGGGAGTGGAGGGTGGGTGACTCACGACGGGACGACGAAGAATGAGGCCGCATGGCTGGCACAGCAGCGATTTACGCTGCTGTCCACGCCCCCTTCAAGCCGCCTGGTTGGGCACTTGCCCGTGGGTGAGGTGCGCCAGCCAGGTGAGTGGGTGGCAGGGGGCTAACGCCTCCTGCTTGAGGCAGAGATCTCATCCCGCCCACAATCCCTCCCCTCTTTGCAGGAGGAGAGTCTTTATACCATGTGCTATTGCACAGAAAAGTGAACTTGAATCTAGATGTGTTTTTCCACCCAACAAGCATCATCCTTGCAGACTGATGAGATTTGTCATAGAACGTATCAGTTATGATACTGCACAACCTCTTCTGAATACCAATAAAAATTATTTGGACAAAACTCTTCTGAATACAATTTGCCGAGCAGCTGTACTGGCTATCCAATTTCCATTCATGCCTCCTAGGATCCAACTTAGTAACATCTTTTGCCAACAACCAATAATACAGCTGGTATATTGCTTTTATTCGTTTTTTAATTATTTGATCACATATATGGCTTATTTTTCATGGTGATAAGTATCAGCATAGTAGGTGCACTTAACACATGGTTTAGAAAGCTGCAAGCTTTCCTGCTATCTGTACACAAGAATAGCTGGCTGGACCAAGACCACAATTTGCCATGCTAATCTGCCGCTGCACCGGAATAAGCTGAGATCCTAAGGCTGTGCACTTCAAAGCAAGAAAAGTTCACCAAGTCAGTAATCTGCTGCTATTTAGGTTCCGAAAAGCAGCTTACCTTTATAACCAATTTGTGCAACATCACGGCAGTCTCTTCAATTTTGGATGGAGCCTGCAAGTAAAGTGGAAGGAGAGTCGCTTTAGCAAAAAGGCAAGAAACACTGGCAACTGAAGTCAGCGTTCCAAAAAGCACACAGTTGAGGGAGTACCGTACTTTTCCGTGTATAAGACTTTTTTTTTTTTACTTTAAAATAAGGTTTAAAATCTGGTGGTGTCCTATGCACAGATAGTGCATATGCTCATTTTCTGAATTTGGTGTCCCCAAAAGTTTGTTGTTTAGTCGTTTAGTCGTGTCCGACTCTTCGTGACCCCATGGACCAGAGCACGCCAGGCACTCCTGTCTTCCACTGCCTCCCGCAGTTTGGTCAAACTCATGCTGGTAGCTTCAAGAACACCATCCAACCATCTCGTCCTCTGTCGTCCCCTTCTCCCTGTGCCCTCAATCTTTCCCAACATCAGGGTCTTTTCCAGGGAGTCTTCCCTTCTCATGAGGTGGCCAAAGTACTGGAGCCTCAGCTTCAGGAACTGTCCTTCCAGTGAGCACTCAGGGCTGATTTCCTTAAGAATGGATAGATTTGATCTTCTTGCAGTTCATGGGACTCTCAAGAGTCTCCTCCAGCACCATGGGCTCCTTATACATGGAAAAACACGGTACTTGGAGAAATGTTATAGATATGTATCTCTTTACTTAACAACTCACAGCCGAGGTCCAAACTAGGTGTCCCCAGATGTGTGACATCATGGGAGAGTTGTTGTTCCCAGGACTAAGATGAAACTTGTCATTTTTGCTATGTTGTTTAAGTGATCTTGTTATATTTACAGTATTAGGATGTGGTTTTCGGGTATGTTATTATATTTGCTATCAATTTGCTGCATTACAAAATCGTTGCTGTGTTGCTTTGCTATGCTGTTAGGAATTTGTTTTTGTAGCGTCTGCTCAAAATGCATCCCTGTATCCTTGTTGCAGGCAGCTCTGAGCATGATTAATAATAATAATAATAATTTATTATTTATACCCCACCCATCTGGCTGACTTTCCCCAGCCACCCTGATTCCTTTGTGTGGGAATGTTCAGGGAGGCAGGAGAGGATATATTGTTTATTAATATCCTTCCTAAATTGCACTAGCAAGTTCTATAATTTAGCAGAGTTTTAACACCCCCCTTTTAAGTGCATATCAGGTAGCTGGTTGCAAGCTTGCTTAAGCTTTTCAATATAGATTCCTGGTAAGATCCCTTGTTTCCCTCTTAAAAGAATAAATATGCCACAATCTTATTTAAGATACATAAAAGTAGTTTACTCACAACATCATCAGTTCACAGATGGATCCCTGAAGGCAGACTTAATATACATGTGAGCCTATCCCATATAGAGATAATCTCTTTGTCCGCTGTTGGCTGAAAGCCAACAGGTCATCTCTAGCTAAAAGCTGTTGCTCCAACGACAAAGTCAAAAAGAGAGAGAGAGTGGCTGCGTGCTTTGTGCTTTTGTTACCTGCACAGGTAAGGTCATACCTACCTCTAGTCACATGCAAGAGGAAGGATGCTCCAGGCCAGGAGGAAACAGGAAGTTTTCGACTGGCTGGAACAAACATCGCCTTTGCATGTCTACTCTAGGCAAAGAAGGAATGTTGTACTTGACTGTTATTTATGTATCACATCCCACACTTTGTTGCAAAAGCAGCATGCAAATTGAATGATTGATTGATTGATTGATTGATTGAATGAACCCTGCGGCCACAGGATTGGATCAGAGCATTGGGAACCAGTTAATTTGACTGGAGCATTGGAAACCAGAAAAAGGGACATATTTGTGGTGGCCCCCTATCTGTAAAACTCCTGAGGAACACAGGGTCGGATCCATCAAGCATTACATTGTTTCCAAATGTCTTCATTTCTATGAGAGTTTTCGGCTAGGCTGTGTGATGCTTCAACTTCTGTTTTCAGATTACAACAGAACAAACGAAGCAATTGTATGTTTTACGTAAGGTTGCATTGGAAGGCCTTTGCCTAAAAATATTTCTATTTCTATCTCTATCTGTGGGTTGTGCTTCTGATCAAATCCCTAATCTCTGGTCATATACTATGTAAGACACGAGACAAAATAAAGAAATGATGGACTGCACATCATTGGTACTTGCAAAGACATGGGGTTTAGCATGCACTGATGATCAGCGATGCTCGAAAAGTGTCGAGCCTCTCTATATGTTGGTTTGATTTCAAACCACACAGGCAAAGGAAAACAGGCCACACAGGGTGTCACTGCAGCATCAGGTAATTGATAGCTGGGTAGTCCTGCCAAAATTGTCTCTGATGGAGGAGGTAAGGATCTGGCCTCCCAGCTGGATCTGTTTTGCTTGCTGCAGACTATGAGATGAATAGACATTTCTGAAGCAGAGAAGATTGACTTGTCCTGCTATCACTTCTGCATTTACTCCAATAGCTGATTAATATCAAACATCATGCTGGCATCTATATTCCTTTTTAACAGAGGCAATAAAGACTTTAACAGAGGCAATAAATAAACAAGCATTTTCTATCCTTTTACATTAGGGAATTAGGAAAAAACCCCACTTCAAATAAAAGAAGAATGCCACATGCTAAATGCTATTTGTCCATTTGTTGCTTTGATAAACTGGAATATTTTTGCGAAACGATGCAGGTTACTGAAGTGAATTTATTGCATAGCTCCAACAGAAATAAACAAACAGGTGAAGAAAAATTACGGGCTTTGAACAACTCCATTTCTCTTCTAGTTCCCACATTTTATTAAAGCCTGATTCAACTGAGCCTAAAATCTGCCATGCTGATGGAGTGCTCAGAAAAATCCCAGTTCCCCAATTACAAAAAAAAATACACTTGAAGAATTTGATTCAGTGTCAATCATAGCTTCCGATTATGTGCAAATCCAGAAACAATGGCTAACAGCTTCAGAACAAGCCATAGTTTACAGGAGGCTTATTGGGAAGCTGTTAACCATGGTTGACAGTTCGCACAGCCTGGGAAACCATGGTTAACAACTTACAGATAAAGTCAATTCAGTGCTTGGTGTAAGAGGGTGAGAGCAGGATTGCAACCCGATCCACTTTTCCAAAAACTTTTGCGCTCTGCTTCTGTGGGCTGAGACTGTTGGGAGAAGGGCAAGACAAGGGTATTGAATCAGCCTTCTATTTGCCAGGCAGTAGGTCAATCAAATGGGTCACGAAGTGGGGGAAAGCACAGCTCAATTTGCCACAGTTCCAAAATTGAATTTATGGACCCGAATGAAGGAAGTGGCCTATTTTTTATTTCCCTGGCCGGGGAGACAATCCTTAGATTGAAAAAAGGCTTCCCAATGTTCCATCCTGTATCATCTGCTGCCATAAATGCTTAGCTTCCCTTTTGCCTTTCCAGACACTGTCCTGAATCGTGCTTCAGGCTAAGGGGAGGGAGGGGTGGATTTGCAACACAGGCCATTCATCAGACCGACCAAAATGCTTTCTGCATTCCTCAAGTCCTGGGAAAAATAGGCTGGATTCTTTTATTACTAATCTTTGCACTTCAACACTTAACGGTCTGACAGAAGGGCTAATGCTGTGTAATTAAAAGCAAATGTTTCCTGGATTCAAAATAAAGCAGGGCAGGATAAAAGCTGGTTGAGCAAGAGAAGCAGAGCAAAGGGGAAGAGAGGGAACAAGCTATTCAGACAGAATTTAAGCTTTTTTTAAATAATAATGAAAAAACCCACCCAATAAAAGCAAAGCAAATTAGGACCATAAAAGCACTGAATTCTATTCTGAAGCGTCCAAACAGCTACTAAGAATCCTTTAGCTAAGCAGTTTTAAGACAAGCCACCGTGTTTGTGTGCGCTTTCATTGTGTGTATGCACAGACAACATCTAACGGATGCACAACCAGGCACATCTTGGTGCATGGAAGTGGCCGGAAAAGGGGGTGGAAGGTAAAAATAAAGGACCCCTGGACGGTTAAGTCCAGTCAAAGGCGACTATGGGGTTGCGGCGCTCATCACGCTTTCAGGCCAAGGGAGCCGGCCTTTGTCCACAGACAGCTTACTGGGTCATGTGGCCAGCATGACTAAACCGCTTCTGACACAATGGGAAACCGTGACGGAAACCAGAGCGCACGGAAATGCTGTTTAACTTCCTGCCGCAGTGCTACCTATTGATCTACTTGCACTGGCGTGCTTTCGAACTGCTAGGTTGGCAGGAGCTGGGTTGGCAGGAGCTCAACCGCATCACGAGGATTCGAACCGCCGACCTTCTGATTGGCAAGCCCAAGAGGCTCAGTGGTTTAGACCACAGCACCACCCGCGTCCCTCCAAAAAGGGGTGGAACGGGGCGTAACCCATAACCCTAGAGAAACAGAGTAGTTACAACTGGGAGCCAATCTACAGGCATACCTCTTGTTACATTTGCTTCAGGTTAAATCTCTTCAGGTTGCATCCCGCGGTGACCCGGAAGTACTGGAAAGGGTTACTTCTGGGTTTCGCTGCTTGCGCATGCGCAGACGCTCAAAATGATGTCACGCGCATGCGCAGAAGCGGCGAATCGCGACCCGCACACACACAGACGCGGGTTGCGTTCTGCTCATGTTGCGAACGGAGCTCTGGAACAGATCCCGTTCGCAACCAGAGGTACCACTGTATTTTAGGTGGTTGTAGCCGATCTATTTTATGACAATTATTATTTAAAATTTGTATACGGGCCCTTCATCCGTAGATCTCAGTGCGGTTTGCCACATAAAAGTACAAGATAAAACAGAGAATACACAAGAAATAAAAGAACAAAAATCCCCATTCCTACAACACATTTAAAAGGGTATCAGATGTTATTCAGCCCAAGGCCTGATTGAAGCAGAACATTTTCGACCAAAGGTGTGCATTCCACACTCGTTCCTATGCTGCCACCCTCAGGACCTTTCGTGGAGGCACACAAAGAAGGTACTCAATGGGTCATCTCAGGAGCCACCCAAATTCCTGCGGAGAGAGGTGGTCTTTGAGGTCTCGTTCTCTCCTTCTGTGCCAGGGCTGTACCACCCGAGACTGCAGCTAAAGACTCACAGGACTGAACAGTCCTCTGCAGTCCCCACATGTAGAAAGCTAGGGTTAAAGCTAGCAATTAATGGGGAAGTCTAGGCTAGGATGCTTTTAGATACAGGTGTGTCCACATCACATGATCCACGAATGCAAAAATAAATAAAAAATGAGAAGAAGAGAAAGGAAGGAAATTGTTCTACTGCCACCGCTAATGGCGAACATCCCACAGCCATGAGACTGTCAAAGAACTTCTCATCCTCCCTGGACAAATTTGGTGCAATCCCACCAGAACCGCAAGCAGGTTCAATCATTCCAAGAGGCCAATTGCGTGCAGTTCTTTATTTGTAAATTACTTTTTTGCAATCCTTCCTCTTCCCTATACTGTAATGGCCTGTTTCTTTTTGATTGCAGGCCTGCAGGCAAGCCACATTTAACTGCAAGGCGCTTAGCTGCTTGTAGTAACTCCACAATGAAAGACCAAAGACTTATGATGGTGCAATGACCTTACCCTGCTTCTAAGCGGATGGGAATATTCTGGTGGGTCAACATTAAATCCCTCTATACCCTTCTGCTTTTCAATTCTGCACAATTTCATATCAAGCCAGAAGAAAACCTGACTGCTTGTGCTGTCCTTATAACATCTGTTTTGCTAATAATTATTTTGTAGTACAACAAAAATGGCGCACTACTGAAAATATGATGAACAAATAACACAAGCTGATGCAATAGCCAATATACGTAGCAGCAGCAACACTCAATTAGAAAAAAATACAATGCAACACTTTAACAACAGAAACACTCCCAAAATCCTTCATCCACCTCAAACTTATCATACAACAGCAACATCTAGTGTCCAAAGGAATTATTACTGCAGAGACAGCAAAGGATAAAGAAAAGTCATTCTATCCAGGGACAGTCCACATAAATATTGGCTTATTCCTCCCTCCCTCTTTTTTTTTTTTTTTTTGATGGTGACACAGACAATTAATAACAGAGGAATATTCTTCACAACCGTGAGCAGAGCAGTGGGGTGAGGGGTAAGTGAAGACAAGTAACATTTAACTACAGTGGTACCTCAGGTTAAGTACTTAATTCGTTCCAGAGGTCCATTCTTAACCTGAAACTATTCTTAACCTGAAGCACCACTTTAGCTAATGGGGTTTCCACCTGCTGCCAGAGCACGATTTCTGTTCTCATCCTGAAGTAAAGTTCTTAACCTGAAGCACTATTTCTGGGTTAGCGGAGTTTGTAACCTGAAGCGTATGTAACCTGAAGCGTATGTAACCTGAAGCGTATGTAACCTGAGGTACCACTGTATAATGTTGTTTGCTGCTCCTGCTCAGGCTCCACAGAAAAAGCATTTTGGTTACTGAAATTCATTCTGATTGTGCAGATAAAATATAACCGATAGAATTCTACAGGGTGGGGTATTAGGGTGTGAAAACAGTCAAGATCCGAGGATTCCCAGGCATGCAACTCCAGATGGTGAAGATGTCGGGCACCATCTTGGCACCCAGGCATCGTCACTTGTTCACAAGTTGCTGATAGGCTGGTGCAAAATGCTAATTCCAAACACGTCTGTTTTTTAATATATATAACTTTTATTAAATTTCCTGTTTTACAATGTAAAACACTCATTTTACATCCTTAAAATATCAATGACTTCCATTCTTCACTTTCCATGCTTCATTTTACATTTCATAAATCCCTGCATATTTTACAAAAACTATACCATTCAGTATTCCATTAATCCATCAAAACTTGTTTACACTGTTGAATTTATCTTAATGCTGCCAGTGTTTTCAGCTGTATATAATTATTTCCCATATATTCAATAAACGTTTTCCAATCTTCTTTAAACATATGTTCATCTTGTTCTCTTATTCTATATGTTAATACTGCAAGTTGTGCATATTTTGTCACTTTAAGTTGTCAATCTCCTTTGGTTGGGACCTCGCTCGTTTTCCATTTTTGGGCTAACAGAACGCAGTAGTGGCAAACATAAATAACCTTTTTTGACACCCGAGAATATCCGTCTGAATTATCCCCAGCAGAAAGGACTTTGGTTTTGGGGGGAAAGTACTTTTGAACATTTTTTTTCAATTCATTATGGATCATTTCCCAATACCCTTTTACCCTTTTACAGGTCCACAACATTTGAAAGAACGTTCCCTCTGCCTCTTTGCATCTCCAGCACTTATCTGATTCTGTCTTGTACATCTTAGCAAGCCTACTTGGAGTTAAATATCATCTGTGAATCATTTCTGAGCATCCCTATTTTCACATCAAGAATCACAGACTAAGCCAGGGGCAGGGAGCTTGAGGCACATTTTTTGCTGGACTACAAATCCCATCATTCCTGACCACTGGCCATAAAGGCTTGGGCTGATGGGAGTTAAGAGTCCAACCACACCTGGAGGGACACATTCTTGGCCCAAGTTCATCTCACCCCCTGAACATATGCGAGAAAGTTCTTCTCTGAAAAATGTATTAATGTTCATTTGCTCTGCACAAAGTTACTAAAGCAGAGAACGGAATGCCGAATTATTACCTCCAATGAAATCCCAATGGAGCACAAAGGACTATGGTAATAGGATTTCAGCCTGGGCAATAATCCCTGGATCTCTGAGGTGCCAAAATCCCAAGAGGGCAGAAAAGATTATTTATGTATGCGATCATAGCTGCACAGATGTTATTGGCCCAGAGATGGAAAGAAGAGAAGAAGAATGGGAGATCAAATTGATGAATTATGCCGAAATGGCTAAAATGACCGGAAGAATCAGAAATCAGGAAGACCAAAATTTTAATAAGGAATGGGGAAAATTGATAACTTATCTTAAAAACCATTGCAAGCAGTTAAAATCGTTAGTAGGATTGGAATAACACTTGTAGTTTAATGGTGAATTTTGGATACAACGGAGAGGTAAAAGATTTGGATTATCATAAAAGATGCAGGGGGAAACGATTAACAATAGGACCCACAAAGGGGAGGAGGGGAGTCCAGGAGATTCTTTGGAATCTTGTTTTTATGTTGTATATTGGGCATGTGACTGTGAAATTTTAATCTGAAAAACCAAATAAATAAAATTTAAAAATGCTTAAGGTTCGTGTGCTGTAGAAATGAAGGCAGCGGGATGGTTCGGTGGGAGACTCTTCATTTCAGGGTACTGTAGTGGGTTCGAGCAAAAAATAAATAAAGATTCCTGGCTGGCAGAGGGGGTTGGACTAGATGACCCTCGGGTGTCCCAACTCTGCAATTCTAGGAATCTAACCCAGGGGCATACAGCGGCACATCTTGGTGCAAAAGGCTCCAAAACAAGAGGCACCAAGGGGAAACAGAGGTAATTCCACAATGAGAGGTCCAAACCCCCAGCTGAGCACCTGATTCCGGGTAGCAGCTCCCCTCTCTGCTTTCTCCCGCAGTAAACTCACCGCGGCAACCTTGAATTCGGCTCCTCCGCCGCCTTTTTTTCCTTAGAGGGAAAGAGGCGAGGTTAGCGCAAGAGACTTCCGGCTGTGTTCGGAGTGGGTTAAGTGGGTGGGTGGGAATGGAACAGACTACACAGCGAGGCGCTCTTTCTCAGCTCCACTTGTGCCTCGCACTTTGCTTCCAGCCCCAAAACATTTAAGCGGCTTTTCTGTTGCTTCTCTATAACGCGCCGTTTGTCGGCCTTGCCACTCTCTCCCGCTTCGAAAACGACTCGGAAATCTGGCGCGCGAGCAGCAGAGCTCGGCCCTTGGGATCCCCCGCCCGGTTCAAAAGAGCCGATTCGCGAATAGGAAACGAGGAAGGTGCCTCTCGGCCCGACGTCTTCCGGCCCGTTCAAAGATGTCCGCCGACTACTTCCGTTTTCTCTCCTTACGTAAGGGGCTTTTCTACGGAACCACGTGACGGGCGGTAGCCAATAGCTCGTCACAGCCCACGCTCCGGCAATTGGCCTGCCGGTTTCATGGGAGAGAGGCCTAGGGGCTCCCTCCTACATGCGCACTACAGCTCCCAGAATGCACAGAGAGCCCCTTACCGTGGACGGCCTAGCTCTTCGCGTTCGTGGTGCATCCTGGGATATGTAGTCTCATTGCTCCTTTTAGTCCATTTCAGGAGAGCTGCGGAGCCTGAGAGGTTTGCAGAGTATTTGCTGGCCCGTCCAAGAGAGAGAGAGAGATAGATAGAGGTACTGGAGCAGCAGGGGAAGGAAACCCTCTGTTATTTATTTATTTATTATTATTATTATTACTACTACTACTACTTGCCCGCTGGGGGGACACTGAATTGTGGAGATTTAACCTCTCTCAGCAGCAGAGGAAGATAAGAGACTTAGCTACTTTTACTCTTCCCTTCCTTCCCTTTTTCAAAAATTAAAAATGCTGGAGAAGGGCAATTGGAAAGCAAGTAAAATTAATTTCAAATTCCTGACACCCACAAAGTTGTTGAATTTTTTTTTAGGAAGACCCCAAAATTGATAGTTGTTTATTTCCTTGACATCTGATGGGAGGGGGCCACCACCGAGAAGGCCCTCTGCCTGGTTCCCTGTAATCTCACTTCTCGCAGGGAGGGAACTGCCAGAAGGCCCTCTGAGCTGTACCTCAGTGTCTGGCCTGAATGATGGGGGTGGAGACGCTCCTTCAGGTATACAGGACCGAGGCCGTTTAGGACTTTAAAGGTCAGCACCAACACTTCGAATTGTGCTCGGAAACGTACTGGGATCCAATGTAGGGCTTTCAAGACCGGTGTTATGTGGTCTCGGCAGCCACTCCCGGTCACCAGTCTAGCTGCCGCATTCTGGATTAGTTGTAGTTTCCGGGTCACCTTCAAAGGTAGCCCCACGTAGAGCACATTGCAGTAGTCCAAGCGGGAGATAACCAGAGCATGCACCACTCTGGCGTGGCAGTCCGCAGGCAGGTAAGGTCTCAGCCTGCGTACCAGAGGGAGCTGGAAGACAGCTGCCCTGTACACAGAATTGACCTGCGCCTCCATGGATAGCTGTGAGTCCAAAATGACTCCCAGGCTGCGCACCTGGTCCTTCAGGGGCACAGATTCAGGACCAGGGAGTCCTCCACACCTGCCCGCCCCCTGTCCCCCCAAAACAGTACTTCTGCCTTGTCAGGATTCAACCTTAATCTGTTAGCCGTGATCCGTCCTCCAACCGCCTCCAGACACACAAGACATTCACCGCCTTCACTGGCTCTGATTTAAAAGAGAGGTAGAGGTAGGGAAGGTGACTGGCCCAAGGTCATCCAGCGACCTTCATGACCAAGTAGGGATTCGAACCCATGTCTTGATAGTTTTTGTTCAGTACTTCAGCTACTATTACACAACCGCTTTCAAGCCCTTAGCAGCAGAATTCCCATTTATCCATGTGTGCACTGAGAGGGTAACAAAAGTCTTTATTTCCGGGTTTCAGGGTATTGCAAGACCAGAGGAAAGGACATATTACCACCACCTGCTGACTATAGTGCTATCGTTTCACAAATGTAAAAAAAGGATCATGCCAGAAAGGAGCTTTCTTGTGTAAGAAACTAGTTTCTAAACAGGAAGTTATTTTGTCTGCAGAAATAAGTACGTCCACATGCAATCTGGAGTGTTGTGTAGCCCAGAAACCAGCTTAACATCTCATTTAGAACTGGGAAGCTTGTTGCATAGTGTGAAAATATTGGAGTCCAAATATTGAATTTTAACTATCCAAATATGCTCAGTTGGTAGAGCATGAGACTCTTAATCTCAGGGTCATGGGTTCAATTGGACTAGATGACTAGATCGTGGTCCCTTCTAAGTCTACAAGTCTACGAAATGAACTACTGTAATTTATCGAACTGGAAGTTTGGTTGTGTGACTTAAATTTTAAAACCTGTCATTGCTTGTAATATTTATGCAAATCTAGCATACAGAACTGAGCCCTGAATGGTGTCTCTCGCTGCCCGTTGTAGTTCATAACCTATGACCAGTCACAACAAAACCCAGAATTGATTGTTTTGCATTTCCATTAGGCATATAAATCCTGCTTTGGGGCTTACTGCAAGCATCTGGTTGATCACTCTGAGAATAATAAGTTGAACTAAATGGTCCTTTGGCCTGATCCAGAAGGCTCTTGTTATGTCTTTAAATTCATGTAGACTTGGGTGTAGTTAATGATCATGCAGGCATCTGTATTGCAAGCACTGTTTTTCTGCGTTTGGTGTTCTTAAGCTATGGTATTATGAGTTTACAAGTGGGACGGGCAACAAAATACTGCAATATAAAATGACCTCAAATATTTCTCAGCAAGGAGGAAGGAAATGGGAAGAGCTTTCCAATTGTCCTTGGACTGTAGGGGCTTATACCTCCCTATATACTCCATTCTGACCCCAGATACAATCCTGTCAGCACTTGCCAATTGATTTTGGCCTTAAAGGGGATTATTTTGACCAAGGGCAGCTGCACGTGCCCATTTTGACTAACAGCTTGCCATTTTGCTTGGGCAGGAAAGTTTGCCATGTGCGAAACACTGTCACCCTAGTGCAGATAATGGGATCCACCCTCAGGAGCAAGGCTTCCACATGCATGTCACTTGGTGGGGCAGGAACCACCGTCATAAATTGGACGCAGCTTCAGCTGCAGAGCTGTTCTATCTGTACTGCATTGCTTTCAGTAGGGCAGAACTGAACTTTTACTCCATCTACGTGACTGTGCAAGCAGTAAATGTCGTTGTTCCTTTTTATGTCACTAGGATGGATTATATAACCCCACCCCCACCCTAAAATACTGACATTAATTCAACTATTTAATTCATATATTTTCTGAACAAGATAACACATGTTACTGTTTGCTGTAACGATGATAATGTTTGTTTGCTACAAAGCAGAGCATTTACACAATCTAGGACAGGAGCACAAACCTAAACCTTCATTTGAAGTCAACTGGCTTTAAATTGTATTAACTGTAGGTGGATTGTGCCCTAAATGTCTGTGCCATTTGTTTGACAGTCATATGACCTAAATTCAGATTCTCCCTCCCACCTCCCGTTCTTTCTTCTACGTAGAAAAGCAAAAGGGTGTTTGTTAGAGGAGCACGGATTTATTTTCAGTGTCATTTAAAACATGTTGGTTTGTATTAAAAGCCGGCTTCATTTTAAACCAAATAATGTGGGGGTTTGTTTTTGTTTTGTTTTTTAAAAAAGAAGATTTTGCTTATTTTAAAAGAAAAAAAGATGTGAAATTGTAAAAATGATTTATGGTTTTTTGTTCATCCTGCCTGCAGCTCGAACTGAATTGGGACAGATGTCTCTGATTGGTCATTTATTGGGAGCAAAAGGCTAGTTTAGTTAAAAACTGAATCTACATATGCTCTTTAACCCGTGGGAGGTGGGTCTGCAGATTAAACGTAGTTCTCACTGAGATGATAACGGTGTGCCTGAGCTTTACCAATTTAGCATACTCATATGTATGAGGCTCATATCTATGAATAATATGCCTTAGGATGATGGACTGGCTCTTACAAAAATATTTCCTTAGCATAGAACAGGCATGTCCAACAGGTAGATTGTGATCTACCGGTAGATCACTGGACGTCTGTGGTAGATCACTGGCTCCCCCCAAAGAAGCTCAACAAGTTTGACTCCCCTAAAAAAAGCTCAATATTTTTGCTCTGCACCCCCAAAAAGGGGGTAGATCACTACCAGTCTTTAACTCTGTGAGTAGATCACAGTCTTTTGGGAGTTGGGTACCCCTGGCATAGAAGACTAGACATCAAGGGAAAGTTTCTAGCCTCATCTTTTCCCTGATGCACCACTTTTCTATGTGTAGAGATCTATTACAGTGGTGCCCCGCAAGACGAACGCCTCGCAAGACGGAAAACCCGCTAGATAAAAGGGTTTTCCGTTTTGGAGGCGCTTCGCAAAACGAATTTCCCTATGGGGTTGCTTCGCAAGACGAAAAAATCTTGCGAGTCCCCGCGAGTTTTTTTCGCTCCCCCCCCTTTTCCTAAGGCGCTAAGCCGCTTATCAGCTGTTCCGTTGATAAGCCGCTTAACAGCTGATCGCGAAAAGCCGCTAGACCGCTGTAGCGCTAATCCGCTAAGCTGTCAATGGGCTTGCTTCGCAAGACGAAAAAACCGCTAGACGAAGAGAATCGCGGAACGGATTCTTTTCGTCTTGCGAGGCACCACTGTAGTTGGGGGTTTTTTAGAAATTAGTTTCTAGATGACCCTTGGAGTCCCTTCCAACTCTACAGCTTTGTGATCATGGAAGCCTCTAGTGGAATTCCGAAGTTGTCTTCTTCTTTGGCGATCACTTGTAGCCAAGTAAGATTGTCTTCCATAAACATGGTTTTAACAGTGAGTCCGTAAGTGACTCTGGAGGCCAATTCTGGATCCACACATCATTCCACAGTGGGAGCATAGATTTGCAGGCGGGAGTTGATCATGGTGAGGGTTTCCCAAGCGTGCCTTCCTCTTAGCATGTTGTGTAACCCTGGCATTATTATTTTAATTAAAAGGGAAGAATGTTCTCGAATCTGAAGAAAGAGAAATATATTGACAAGGCTAATGCGAAAGCTTTCAAGAAGCATGCGCATACTTGTATAAGGAAATGAAGAATTGTTAAAAATAAACGCCTAGGAGAATATGCAGCCCGCAGAACAATCAGCCCTGCAGAGATTTACTTGTAGAATCGGGAACAGACTGCGGAAAATCAAATGGTAACCCCTGAAAGGCAGTTTATTTTATTAAATGCAAACAGATCACTAGGGAAACATGCTCAAATGATGACCAACCTAAATTTTATGACTAATTAATTTTTCAGACTAGGAAATACTCATAGCAGTAGATAGGAATGGGGCATTGAGTCCTGCCCAGGATAGCTCTAAGGGCATAAATACATGCTTTGGAAGGCCAAACAGTAAAAATCAATAGTTTCCTCAGTCTAACAGATAAGGGAGGTATAAGCCCCTACAGTCCAAAGGCAATTGGAAAGCTTTTCCCATTTCCTTCCTCCTTGCAGAGAAATATTTGAGGTCAGTTTGGGAGAGTCAAAATGGCTGTACTATTTCAGACACATGGTTTATATCAGACTTCCTCAACCTCAGCCCTCCAGATGTTTTGGCCTCCAACTCCCATGATCCCTAGCTAGCAGGACCAGTGGTCAGGGATGATGGGAATTGTAGTCTCAAAACATCTGGAGGGCCGAGGTTGAGGAAGCCT